AAGCTCGACACGGCGGCGCGACAAAGGAGCAGTTACCAGTGATGCGCGGCTTTCTTGGCCGACGCGACGGTTGGGCTGTCGATGGAATTGTCGAAATACATCGAAAAAATAGCGAAAAAACAAAATACGTATTTAAAATTGTTGAGTGAAACACGTATTTTCTTAGATTGAAAGTAGTTCGGAAAGTGGCGGTAAGAGACATTAATTCTCAACATTTATTCATTCAGAAAGGTATTCAAAGTAATGTGTGCTTTTCCAGGTGTTTTGTAAATCAGTGGTTCAAATTGTGATAAGGCCTATATGAAAATAATGTGTTAAAAATGGGGACTGTTATTTTAGTAGTTATTATAATAGCATGTACAAGTAAAGCAGCACAGTGAAGTGTATTTTAGTTAAGTGTATATCGAAAAAGAGAACTGTCACAGTTACATCGATCTATCATAAGTATCTTTTTTTAATGTTGGGTAAGTTTTTTAATTTAACTTTTTTAACACATTTTTTAACACATTATTAAACATTTAACTTTTAATTTATTTTATGTAATAATATCACAATCTTATAAAATGTAATGCATCTCTGCAAACTCCTCAGGTGTTATAATTTTATGACTTACTTTTAACATAGGTATACTTTCTTGTTCCTATGGCAACACAGTGCGTCGAATTAACTGAAATCTGGGCTTGATCCGGGTAATTGGATGTAGTTGGCGATATCTGCCGGCGGTTCTCAAAATGTTGCGATTATTTTTTTTTAAATTTTCAAAGTTAAATAACTCGGTTATTTTCAATTTATTTTAAAAATGGTAAAGAGAAAATATGTTTATTTTGACCAAATCTACCACCCCTTAAAATATCTGCACTCATTTCTGGGACACCCTGTATAAATAGTTATTAGACTGAAATTATAAATTTCATTTGTTTTTGTGCCAAAAGTTCAACAGAAACTGTTTTATCACCATTTTTTTTATAAAAAAAATGTATGATTTATTTAAAAAAATAAAAATTTCTCACATTTATTATTTCAGTCAAAAAGTCAAGAAAATGTATATTTTTTCACTCGGAAGTTTTTATACAGGTACGGACGAAAAGTTGTTACTCTTCAAAACAGTTTAAAAATATCTAGGTGACGCCCTCTACAAGTAGGAGGCATATTGACATCAAAACCAAATTTCTCATGTCAAAAAACTCCCAGACACCAATTTTCATCCAATTATCGACATTAGTTCAGAAATTATTTGGAAAAAATCGAATTAAAAATGAAACTTCAACACCCTGTATCTCCGAAACGAAGCATTTTAGGACACACATTTATATGAACTTTTTTACTTAATTTTATATGCAGAATATGCTGCCGAAGTTTCCGGAAAACAGTTCGGACCACCCTGTATAAAATACTCGTGCACAATTTTAGTTACCAATGTTACCATACTCCTCCGAAACAGCTTAACCGATTTTGATGAAATTTTATAGGTATATTCGGTAGGCCTGAGAATAGGTTGTTATCTATTTTTTATACCTCTATTACTTTTTAAATGATAAGGGTGGTCCACCTAGTGATGTTGGTAGCGAATATTTCCATTCGAATTTTGCAGGAAATTTCAGAAATTTCCGAAATATCCGGTCCCAAAATCGCGAATATTCGCAAAAATCCGAATTTTGCAAGAAATTTCTTTTCAAAATTCAAGACATTGAGCAAAAATTTAACGAAAGTGTATCAAGTATGCCTATTCTTAAATCAGAAGAAAAAGAATGCTACTCCGCCTTACAAAATAGAAAACGTATGGCTCTTAAAATAATGCATTTTGCCGCGAATCTCTTGGCCCCCTCTGTTTCCTGGGAGAGCACCTTAACAATGAAGAACACATAGCCGCTATGGAATTTATCAACAATATCACCAACAAACATCCTCAGTTTGTCAATAATAAAGAAGCCATTTTTACAGATGTAACAAATTATTGCGCCAAATCGGGTTTATGGGCTCTCGACTACGTTTGGATGTCAGTTAAAAATGTAGACTGTCTAAGTTGGTGGCAAGCAATATGTAAAAATACTCAGTTGAAATATTTAGCTGTTGCTCTGCTGTCATTACCAACGTCATCTGCAGCCACTGAGAGAAGTTTCAGTACTTATAGTTTTATCCATACTAAAAAAGGAATCGCTTAACTGCACAAAGAGCCGGCAAAATAATGTTCGTAGCTCATAACAATAAATTATTACTACAAAAACAAAAAGTGGATATGGAACAAGATATGCAACAACATGAAACTCCTCCAGAACCACTAGAACCCGTAGAGGTAGAGGTCCATCCTTCAGAATCAGAACCAGATGATACACATCAAATATACCTGATTTGGAAATAAAAACTGACGAAGACAGTACTACCACGGCACATAAAACAATCGGCACGCCAACTCTACTCAGATTCCATTGTTTAAAATTTCTATAAAATTTGACCTTGTCGGCGCCATTATGGTTTCCTAGTCAGGGCCGGATTAAAACGTATTAAAAAATTTCTCAGAAAATACGACAGGGTCGTATTAAAAAAATACTGTAATTGACTGAAACTGAATTTTATTTACAATACTTTTGTCCAAACAAATGAATCGTTAACCGCGCATACTTCTCGAAAAGTAAAAATGAAAAAATCAATTAAATATTTCACTGTAGAGAATAGACAATTAAAATTAAAAAACATGCAACTAACAAAAACATGCCAGGAGTTACAAACAAGAATTAAAAAATACCAATAAAATATTTATTGAACAATATAAAGAGGCTACGTACAAATTATGCCCATCAATGGGCGTAGCAAATTTTATTAATATTCAAATTTCACAAATTAATAAATCCACAATTTTTTTTGAGAAACTTCTATTTTTTTCATGGCAGGAAACAAAGTAGGTACCGCATTGTATTTTATACGGTTACAAAGTGAATTGGTAAACATTTTAAATTCAAAGTGAACAGAACACAACCTGTACTTGTGGGCCTTATTTATATCTTCAATCAAGTCTTCTCCGTTAGCTGCAATTGCCCATGTTCTTGCCCTAAAAATGTATTGTTAATTTATTTTCTATATACTCATTTTATTTATTTTTATAATTTTATTTAAATTAATAATATAATTATTTTTAAATTTAATGTTGAATGTCTAGATACAACATTAAATTTTACTAAATATTTAACATTTTAATCTTGCTAATATTTTATATACATATAGGGTGAGTCTTGAATAAGTGCAAATATTTTCAGGGGTGGTATATTTCGACCCCAGGAACACGTTTATTTATTTTTTTTCGCTAAAAAAAGATATTGAAAATCGTGCATTTTCTTTTAACTTCCCTGTATATTTTTCGAAAATTTTTTAGAACTGCCTGTTCACCGCAAATTTTCCCACGGTATACTTTCTTAATCTCTGATATTACCATAGTTACGGCTTTACTCTATGGTTGCGGCACTAAAAGGGATGCAAATACAGAAAAAATCCGGTGGCTCTCAACTCAACATTTAAAAAAAAAAAATTTTTTTAAACTTAAATAACTCGGTTATTTTGGATTTATCTGAAAAAGTAAGGAGAAAATATGTTTCTTTTATCGAGATCTGCCAGCCCTGAAAATATTTGCACTTATTTAAGACTCACCCTGTATATAAGTTTGTTAACATTTAATATAGATGCTGAACTTGTATATTTTTAATTAGTTCTTTCTATTTAGCTGAATGTCCTACTATGTATACTACTGTTTTTTTTAACTAAAATATGTTAAAATAATTAATCACATATGTATATACATACCTAATCGGATCTCTAGGAAACAGAAAGAAACTTTTATTGCAGTTTAGTCCTCTACTCGGGCAGTTTTTTGCTGCACAACTTGGCCCAGGCATTTTAAAAACACGTAAAATTAACGATTTAAAAATGTTCAGAAAAAACAAAAGTAAATTATATAACACAAGAAACGAAAATAAACTAGAAAAAACCAAATATATAACACAATAAAAAAAATAAAACAACAACTATAAAATATAACTCAAGAAATAAACAAAATAAATTAATCCGTACGCTACTGACTCGAATCAGCCGAAAGTGTGCGCAGTCGATGAAAGAAACTACGACACTGGTTACTTTCTGTTGATGGAAACCCTAATGGCGGCGTGCGCGACGGTATGCGCGTAGCGTTCCCGCCAAAGAGAGTTAGCCTGCCGTGGTACTACTACTACTACTACTGCTACTGCTACTACTATAATACCCTATAAAGATGGGACCAGCTCGGCGCCTGAAAGTATTCCGGAACAGAATAATTCAGTTATTTGTGTTTTACGTTTTTTAAATTTATATTTCGTGCTTTTTTGTTTTTTCTTAAGTTCATAGTCATAGTTCATGGTTTATGTACAAAGTACAAATGTTACCAAATAATGTTTGTTATATGTTATGTTTATGGCTTTTAGGAGTTAAGTATGTATTGTTTATTAAAAATATAACAACTAATAATATGTTTATTGTTTTTTTTTCCACTTACACGTTGGTATCAAATGTCTATCTAATTTATTCATTGTATCACAACAAAAAATATGTAAAATTGTAAAATTTCCTAAAATTTCATAAATTTACGAAAGTTTCCGAAAGTTTCGGAAATTTCCTGCGACAATCAAAAGTTTCCGAAATATTAACATCACTAGGTCCACCCCCCAATTTTTTTAATTTTTTTGGAGAAAATTTTTTATTTTTATTTTTTTATGATATGGCATTAAAAATTAAAAAATACATACAACCCTAAATTTTCACCTTTCTACCATCAACTGTTATTTTTTAATAGCGATATTAGTAATTGAATAATTTTCAACCACGTGAATAAAAATGACTGTTGTCCCATAAAAAATAGTTATATCACAAAAGAACGTTTGCCGTTGGTCAGCTAGCTCTTTATAAAACTTGTAGTGTGTTAATATCACGCATTTTAATTTTTATTTTATTGAAAATTAACCTGTTTTTAATATTTTTAGTCGAATGTGCTCATATTAGGTCTACCACATTTTTAAAGCCTAATCCATATGTAGAAGTGACGGTAGACCAGCAGTCTCCTCGTAAAACTGAGACAGTAAAAAATACAGCCCATCCAAAATGGAACGAAACATTTAATTTGCTAGTTAATTTCCAGTCAAAAATTCACTTTTCAGTATTAGATCGAAACAATTTTAGAAAGGACACAACAATAGGAGAAAAGTTAGTGCAGCTCAATCAGTTGTTATCGCATTCAGAAGGAAGGTATGTAAAAGTTGTTTGTTGTATATAATGTTAAATTAATTTAATAATAGTATTACCAGAGATGAAAAATCGTAGAGAAGCGACAAAACGAATCCCGCCTAAAAATTTGGAGTGGGCGGTAAACCTGCTAACTGTCATCTCATTGTGTTATACGGTGTTTTCGGAATACGGCCAGCGTTGCCATTGTTAATATAAAGTCCTGAAATCTTACTATTTTTTTATTTGTGTATATAATTAATCTTTTTGAATTATTTTTTCTATATTTTATCCTTATCTTATAATAGTACTTAAAGAAAGAACTAACTTTCAGAAGTAAATAGGTAAGTAAAACAGGTTTGTTAGCGTTTAATAAAAATACTTAGAAAGTTAAAACTATTAGAAAATTGCATATACAGGGTTGTTCACCACATACGACACGGAGTATTGTAGCTAAACGATTAGATTTTTACAAATTGTAAGTTTTGGATTTGTTGAAGGACTATTAGAGCTACAGTTTAAAAATATTTTTACAAGATATAGAGTGTCCCAAATAAATAAAAAATATCAAAGTTGTATTTTTTTAAATGGAATACCCTGTATATTATTACATTTTTAGTTTCTACGATTAAAATAAAGGTAAATTTGATAAAGGTTTATTACACTTAAACCTTACCGTTTTTGAAATATTTTCAATTTTGTGAAATTGCAGTCAAAATTTTAGGGCTTCATTTCTCCAAGGGTATCAAAGTTTTTAATACTAAATATTTACTGAAGTTTATTTATTGATCAGTTATTGTGTTGCAATAATAAAAATTATACTACCTTATACAGAGTGTCTAAAATTTTATTTTACATAATTACTAGCTTTAAACGGCAATAACTTGTTAAATTTAAATGGAACACCCTGTATATTTTATGAGAATCAGATGCACAATTTAATTGTCTATCAAATTGTATTATACCTATAGCTTCAAGTTTCCGTAGAAAATGCATTTTCATGTAATTTTAAATTCATTTATCAATATACCCATGGAATACTGACATTTTAGATTATTTTTAAAGATGTACCAAATTTTTAAAGAGTACAGATACTAATATTGTCGATATAGTTTGTTTATTTCATTAAAAATAGAAAAAAAACTGTTTAAATATTTGTTAAAGAGGACCAATTAATATGATTCCAGTATTCAAACATTCCAGTACATTAATTGACTGTTTGCGTTGATTATAGTCTATCCAACGAGAAGATCCTTGACAGTGATAGATGTGTCTGTCATTTTAATTTCAAAGTAGTTTATTTTATTTTACAAAGAAATAAGCTGGTACAACTGGAACGCATAGCAGGAAATATTTAAAATTTGATTGACAAGATGACAAGTGATTACTTCAAAATATTGTGAAAAAAACTGTATAAAACTGAAAAATGTAATCGAGTTATTTTATTTAATAAAAACGGTATGTGTTAATACAAAACAAACAAGAACAAGACACTATATACCAAAAAATATAAAAAAGAACTATTATTTACTTTCAAGCTTTATGAACTACCCGCATTTTGTAATATTCCACAGAATAAATAAAACAACATAGGTAAATAAAACAAACTATTTTATTAATAATAACACCTACCAAATTTTATACCTTAAAGGTTGATTAATTAACTTTAATCTTAATTATTTTAAACCAGTACCTTTTGACATATTTTTCTGCAGTACTAAAATCCATTATTTACCTATCGTGTGATGTCGATATTTTACAGCTACTCCAGTTTTTAGTATGTGTTTAGTTTGATCCTTCTACCATATACGAGATGCACTTACATATCTACGACGAAATGGTATACAAACTTTATCGATGGCAACTTCATTGGTGTATAAAACTTTCTGCCTGGGCAGCGAGTATTAACCATAAACTGTGCTCTGGGTCTACAGTTAATTTTCACTCGATTTTTCCTCCACTTGACTTCAAAAGACACAAAACACACGTAATAATACGAATCAAAATGCATCATCTTCCAAAACGCAGGGTATTTAACAAAAGTTGACACAAAAATTATAACCTATAATTTATAATTTGGCAAGACTTTGACAAGCGTCAAAAATGACAAAAAATCTTAAGGCGAATTCATACGCATCGGCGTCCGTTTGTCGTTCATCGTTCCGTCAAACCAATAAAATTGAAATACGATCTGTCATTTTTAAATAAACCAATAAAACTGGTTAAAAACAAGACACGACGCATGACGGATTTATATTTAAACCCATCCATAGATAACTTAAAAATTATTAGAAACTTTTTTTAGTAAAATAAATAGATTGGTATGGGACGTCATCTGCTTTTCTTCTGTCATCGTCTATCGAAATCTTACCTGAGAAAAAAAACAGAGTATAATAATAATTGCTCCAAAAAATAAAAAACTGATTTTTTTATGTGTATTAGACAGTGTGGTAAAAAGTAACACCTTAAAAATGATATTTCATTTTTTGACAAATGCTTATTTGTAACAACAGAGACATTCATTTTTATAACTTATTATTATATTGATTTCTGATTCAAATCCACATTTATTTAGAATAATTTATTCATGAATATAATTAAGTATGTAATTAATTAGTATTTGGGCGGAAATAATGGTGGTATATTTAATTAATGGTATACTCTTTTATGAAGATTTAAATAGTTTTCTTTTGCATATAATGGGCTAGTAATATTATCATTTTGCTAAAAACGATAATATTACTAGCCTGTACATTTTGTTGTACATTTGTTGCTTTAAAAACAATCTAAAATGTCAATATTCCATGGGTATATTGATAAATGAGGTCTAAATTATAAGAAAATGCATTTTCTACGAAAACTTAAAGGGATAGGTAAAAAGCGGTATAATACAATTTGATAGACAATTAAATTATGCATCTGATTCTCCTAAAATATACAGGGCGTTCCATTTAAATTAAACAAGTTATTGCCGTTTATAGCTAGTAATTATTTAAAATAAAATTTTAGACACTCTGTATAAGGTAGTATAATTTTTATTATTGCAACACAATAACTGATCAATAAATAAACTTCAGTAAATATTTAGTATTAAAAACTTTGATACCCTTGGAGAAATAAAGCCTTAAAATGTTTACTGCAATTTCACAAAATTGAAAATATTTCAAAAACGGTAAGGTTTAAGTGTGATAAACCTTAATAAAATTTACCTTTATTTCAATCGTAGAATCTAAAAATAGAACAATATACAGGGTGTTCTATTTAAAAAAACACAACTATAGCATTTTTTACTTATTTGGGACACTCTGTATCTTGTAAAATTATTTCTAAATTGTAGCTCTAATAGTCCTTCAACGAACCCAAAACTTAAAATTTGTAAAAATCTAATTGTTTAGCTACAATACTCCGTGTCGTATGTGGTGAACAACCCTGTATAATGTTAAATTAATTTAATAATAGTATTACCAGAGATGAAAAATCGTAGAGAAGCGACAAAACGAATCCCGCCTAAAAATTTGGAGTGGGAGGTAAACCTGCTAACTGTCATCTCATTGTGTTTTCGGAATACGGCCAGCGTTGCCATTGTTAATATAAAGTCCTGAAATCTTACTATTTTTTTATTTGTGTACATAATTAATCTTTTTGAATTATTTTTTCTATATTTTATCCTTATCTTATAATAGTACTTAAAGAAAGAACTAACTTTCAGAACTAAATAGGTAAGTAAAACAGGTTTGTTAGCGTTTAATAAAAATACTTAGAAAGTTAAAACTATTAGAAAATTGCATATATAATATATTTTTTGTTTTTTATGTAAAATATGATTTTTTAATATACAGGGTGAGTCTTAAATAAGTGAAAATATTTTCAGGGCTGGTAGATCTCGTTAAATGAAGCATATTTTCTCTTTGCCGTTTTTTCAAAAAAGTCCAGAATAACCGAGATTCTTTGAAAATGAAAAAAAAATACATTTTCAGAACTGCTGAATCTTTTCTGGGTTTTCTTTCTTGTAAATTTAATCTACCATCTATGTTCTCATATTATAAAGGTATTATGTTTTTTAATCATTTTAGTTTTAATTGTGTGCTGATGCACTGCAGTAGTAAAGTGTTTTGGTGTATTGTGGTGAATTAGTGTTTTATTTTGCTGTTGTAACACCCCGGTTCCAACCCTCAACTCTAATCATGTTATTTACTTTTTGGTTTGTTGTAACGCTTGTGTTAACAGCTGGTAAATAATCGAATTTTTCTTAAAATTGTTTAATTTATCATTTTGATTAAAAAAACACTTTCAAATATTAATTTCGAAGCAAAAAATATTATCAGATACGATTTGAAAATGTCCCTGTAAAAGGGGAATAGGTTAGAAAATGGTTAGAACGCGGTAAATCCACAATTCGCGGAAACCCGTTAAATCTGAAAAGATAGTTACTGTTCACTATGATTCCTAAACTATTCCTTCTACTTTTTACTGAACACATGTTTTTTCAGTGTACAGCTTTTCTTATTTCTTTTACGTTCATTGAATTTCTCTCAGTGTAGCTAGAAACCATAGATAAATGGAACAAGTTTAGATTGGAAAGTGCCCATAAGGACAATGTAAACACTATTTGGCGCTATTCTTGCAACGGTCGCGACCCAAAACTTTTGAAAATTTCGGAGCGGTTCGGCTTTTTCCGGAATTATATCGCCAAATATTGTTTATTCAAATTTATTATTATTTTCGTTTAATTTCATAAATAAAATACAATGTGTTGCATACAAGAAACTTTATTTTATATAAGGACGCATGTATGAAATACCTATGTAACATTGGAAACCGACGTTATGCCTCGATCCACGATGATTTTTGCAGTTCACAGTTCACAGCACAGCTTTTTAAGTTTTTAATGCCACTTTTTCACAATTATCACCGGTTGGAGTAAATAAAACTTGAATTAAACTCACAAGATAGCAATAATTACTTTGAAAATGGACGCTATAAACACTTTTCGGAATTTCTTTAATGAGAGCGGTTTAGATTTTGAAAGATTATTATGATTTTTGAAGATTCTGACTTTGACAAGACAAGATTATTTCTCTTTTTGTTTGCCGTTGTTCTTAGCGACCGCTATAGCAGCGCCAGATCGCGTATAACGGTCGCGACCCAAAATAATTTCGCGACCTAAAATTTTTACGGGCTTTCCAATCTAAACTTGTTGCATTTATCTATGCTAGAAACTACTATAAACAGGCGATCTGTCATCTGTCACGTACGCCGATTTGAAGGTCACAAAACTTGGTCCCCCTTCTTCAATAGTGCCGACGGTTTTTGTCGCTTCTCTACGATTGTTCTTCTCGGGTACTACTGAATCTACAGGAAAGTGTTATATAAAATAGAGAGTAAACTATTATCTATTGCGCTTTTAACACAATTTTGACATTTGATTGAATTCGTGCAATTATATCGAGAGATGGTCGTCTTTATTAAATGAAACATATTTTCTATTTACCATTCTTTAAATTAATCATAAATTGCCCTAGATCCTATACAGGGTGGTTCACGGCCATGGCACGTTAGACGTTTATGGAGAACCGGTGATAGGATTTTTTTGAAAAATTGGATTTTTGCATAAAGGCACCTGCTCCATATGTCTTAATTGTTTTCAGCATTACAGTGTTGCCGCTTCATACTAAAAGTGGTAGCATCTTATGTTATTTTAAACCGAACACCCGGTATATTATTATGTTTTTCGAAACTACTTCCATATCTGAAAATTTTTCTATTATACTAACTTCTACCAATCTCTCATAGTTTTCGAGATAAAAAATGAAACATGTAAAATTGACAAAAACATGATCTTGAATAAGCATTGGTTAAATCATACATTTAGCAATTTGAAAGCTAAAATTTGATTTATAGCTTAAGAAAAGTCGACATATTCGATCTGTCTAAATCATCTGATTGGATAGAATGTAGAATATTTAGGAGGGGAGTTAATCACCGCGACCTTATAGATCTATTGTGTGTTCCCCTTTCTTGAGTTATAACGAGTTATTACTCATCTTACAGTCTCAGGGCTTTAAGAAAAGCCAGTATCTGAGATGGCTCCACAGAGGCCAGCTCTCCATCCTCGACATCAGACGTACCAAGGTTCATGGCACGAATGGTCGTCGTCTCGGCGCACTCAGTGATAAGGTGTTCTGGTGTTTCCCCATTTTCCCCACAAAATCTGCATTCGCCGTTGTTTCTCAGTTTCAGTTTACTGAGGTGTTCATTGAGGAGACAGTGTCCTGTTAGAAACCCCGTGACAATCCGAAGATTGTTTTTACTTAAATCAAGGAAAACCTTTGATTTTTCTCGGTCATAAGTTTTAAGGAACTTTTTCGAGTGTCTTAGACCGTTGGAGGACACCCATTCCAAGTTACGGATGGAGTGTTCCAGATTCTTCAGTTCCGCTTTCAGTTGGTTCCCGTTTGGAGAACAGAACGGTTCTGGTCCAGTTAGTGGAGTGTTCGCTCCTTTTCTAGCTAGATCATTTGCTTTTTCATTGCCTTCTATCCCTTGGTGAGCAGGCACCCAGAGTAGGAGGACTTTATTTTCTTTGCCTAATTTGTTGAGCTTCTCTAGGCATTCTTTGACCAACTTCGAATTGATGGTTACTGAGTTGATCGCGTTAAGTGCTGCTTGACTATCGGATAGGATGGCAATTTCCTGTTTTCGATAGTTCCTATCCAAGATAAATTGTACGCATCTTTCGATAGCGCAAATTTCTGCCTGAAGGATACTGGGGTAGGTGCCCATTGGTTCGGAGTATTCAGTTTTCGGCCCAAATACTCCTATCCCTGTCCCTGCTTTGGTTTTGGAAGCATCAGTATACCACGTGATGGTATGGTCTTTTATATGCTGAGTAAGCGTTTCTTTCTTCCAATCCTTTTTATTACTCAATACTACAGTGAGGTGTTTCTCAAAGTTGTAAATTCTTGGTATGTCATCCACTGGGAGTTGGAGAAGTGGAATTTTCTTTTTGAGGGTGTTCCAAGCCCCTGACCTGAAAATTCTCCCAGTACTGTTTCCGTCAATGACCATTCTAATCATTGTCGCATTGGCATAACTACCGACGACAATATGCAGTGGTGTTAGGTCTAGAATGACCTCCATTGCTGCTGTTGGACATGTTCTCATGGCACCTGTGATGCAGATACATGCCAGTCTCTGTACTTTGCACAGGGTTTGCCTTGCTGTACGTTGCTCTAGTTTTGTATACCAAGCAACTGCTCCATAAGTAATCATGGGTCTTACTATCATGGTATACATCCAGCGCAAAATGTTAGGGGCGCAGCCCCACCTATTTCCCGCCAGTCTTCTGCATATCATGAGAGCCTTTGTGGCTTTGCTGGTAATGTTCTTAATATGCCTGTTCCAGAGAAGTTTACTATCCAGGGTTATTCCCAGATATTTCACTTCCTGTGATGGCAGTATTTCCTTTCCATCTAGATGGATTCTTTTCAAGTTTTTCAAACTTCGCTTTCTGGTGAATGGCACTACTGCGGTTTTATCTGAGTTAATACTCAGCCCGACAGTCCTGCACCATCTCTCAGCGATGCGGAATCCTCTTTGGATAATATCACACAGGGTGCCTTCATGTTTCCCCCGTGCAATGATGACTATGTCATCTGCGTACCCTATGCAGTGTATTCCCGCTAGAGTTAATTCTTCCAGTAGTTCATCCACTACCAAGCTCCACAGTAGGGGGGAGGTCACTCCACCTTGTGGAGTTCCTTGCGTTGTTTTAACCTGATTGGATATCAAACAGGGAGATCAGAAAAATAATTATTTCCGTTATAAAATTGTATGTTATTGTTATTTTAAATTAAAGCCTATGTATATTATTTCAAAAATCGAAACCCAAATAAAATTGCTTTTCAACGATATACCATGTTCCTATAAAAAAAGATAATAATTCTATTATAACTGTTTCATTAAGCGTTTTAACTCTTATTTTTTTCAGCAGTGGGTTAGAAGTAACATTAGATTTGATGAATAATAAGCAGACTGATTCTCCTATTAAAGTTGGTGAATTGGTTTGTTTCTTTAAAGGCTTAAATATTGACATGGGCCAGAGTAGATATGATAATTTGAATAGAAGAGGAATATCAAATTCAACTCCATTATCTCAGAATAATACTGATGGTTCACTACATACTGTTTTGAATGGTAAGAAAAAGTAAAAACCTTCCAAGAGAGTATCCATTGTAACATATCCATGAAAAAAAGTTTTTATAAAAGTATTCTTGATATAATGCCTATACCTTTCTGATGTACCGTATGATAGAATTCATATGCCTTATGATAGAATTCTGTCCATATTTTTACAGTGACAGTTCTCTGTCATTTTAAATAATTCACAGCAAAAATATTGCCTCTTCTCTCCGTCATTTATACTAAGTATACTAGCTGTAGAAGGTGCGTGATTGAGACAAGGAAAGTTAGGGACATTTTAAAAGATAGACAAATTAGGGTGGCTGCAACGACGTCCTGTTATCCTGCTGTTAAAACATAACAATTGGTTTTTATATATAAAAACCAACAGCAGGATTACGGGACGTCGTTGCAGCCACCCTTAGGAATAAAAAGTTAATTCGTTATTTGTATCAATCTACAGTATATTCCTGGATTGTCTTTACAAGAGGAAAAACTTTTTTATTATTAACTTTTTGAGAAAAAAGTATTCATAAAAATGTTTGCTTGTTCTAAAATAGTTAATCCCGTTTATACTTTTCCAAATTTCCATACCGTCTTAGAGAATAATTAAAAAACTATTAAAATCTAGTTGAATTTGTCCAAAAAAAATTAATTATTATAAAAATTATTAGGTTTTCATTATGGTTTTCGTTCTTTGATAGATGGTTCTTATTAATTTTGATTAACGTGATATTTTGTACTGTTTTAATTTGTTTATGTTACGGCTAAAATGGATACTTGGCTAGTTTTCAAACTAGCCAGCTATTTTACAAGCAAACAGCACAACCACCACCGCAAACTAATACCTAACCCACAAAATAACAGCGTTTTTTGCAAGTAGTAGCCGTGGCATAAAGGTATATTAAATAAGGCACAAACAATATCACAGCTTAAAATTGACAAAGCGGCAGGTCCTGATAATATCCCCGCTGAATTATTTAAGATCACAACCCAAAAAGCATTGCACAGCTACTACAGATAATAATAAAAATCAGTTTGGAAACAGAACATATCCAATCAACGTGAAAAGAAGGACTTCAATAAGTTCCCAGGTAAATAAGCTGTCACAATTAAAAAGAGAAATGGCTAAAGGAATTTAGTCCAGAAAAAAACAACAATCTGCTGATACACTCTTAATGCGCAGGTTTAGGCTGGTATCGAAATTACGGTCCCGGAAGCGTATTTACATAGTATACTACGGCACAGAACCCCATAGAACGCGGCGGCTCTGTAACGCAGTATGGTATGTAGTTGTAAACCGCCCTTATTTTCTACTACATACTATACTACGGTGCAGAACCGGTAGAAAGAAAAATGTATTTATGATGCTATAGTCTGATGTCCAACGAGAAGATCCTTGACAGTGATAAATGTATCTGTCATTTTAATTTCAAAGTAGTTTATTTTATTTTACAAAGAAATAAGTTGGTACAACTGGAACGCATAGCAGGAAATTAATATATATGTATTTAAAATTTGACTGACAAGTAACTTCAAAATATTGTGAAAAAAAACTGTATAAAACTGAAAAAATGTAACGAGTTATATTATTTAATAAAAAACGGTATGTGTTAATACAAAACAAACAAAAACAAGACACCACATACCAAAAAATATAAAAAGAACTAGGTATTTCTTACTTTCAAGCTTTATGAAACTTCCCGCATTTATGATTATATTTATCAATATAACTTATGTACAAATACAAATTTGTAATATTCCGCAGGAATAAATAAAACAACATAAATAAAACAAACTACTTTATTAAGAATAACACTTACCAAATTTTATACCTCACAGGTTTATTAATTAACTTTAATCTTATTTTTTTTTAAACCAGTACCTTTTGACATTATTTTTCTGCAGTACTAAAATCCATTATTTACCTATCGTGTGATGTCGATATTTTACAGCTACTCCAGTTTTTAGTATGTGTTTAGTATGGTCCTTCTACCATATTCGAGATGCACTTATCTACGACGAGATGGTATACGAACTTTATTGATAGTAACTTTATTGGTGTATCTGTATAAGACTTTCTGCCTGGGCAGCGAGTATTAACCATAAACTGTGCTCTGGGTTCTACAGTTAATTTTCACTCGATTTTTCCTCCACTTGACTTCAAAAGACACAAAACACACGTAATAACACGAATCAAAATGCATCATCTTCCAAAACGCAGGGTATTTGACAAAAGTTGTCACAAAATTATAACCTATAATTTGGCAAGACTTTGACAAACGTCAAAAATCTAAAGGCGAGTTCATACGCATCGGCGTCCGTTTGTCGTTCATCGTTCCGTCAAACCAATAAAATTGAAATACGATCTGTCATTTTTGAAATAAACCAATAAAACTGGTTAAAAACAACAAGTGACGACGCATGACGAATTTATATTTAAACCCATCCATAGTTAACTTAAAAATTATTAGAATTTTTTTTAGTAAAATTGTAAAGTAAGATTGGTATGGGACGTCATCTGCTTTTCTTCTGTCATCGTCTGTCGAAATCTTACCTGAGAAAAAAAAAACAGTATATTATTGTTGTTTAGTGCCAAAAATTAGTAATACAATATTAAATTTTAATGTGTTATATTAATATTGATATTTTATTGTTGATAATAATTGACAATTTAGATATACAGGGTGTCCCAGAATAGCTCTCGGCTGTACCTCGGAAAGTATTAGCCGTAGGGACTATGGAAAAAAATATTTATAACTAAAGGGGCTATGAGAAATTGCTGGAAATTATTTTCGAGTTTGTAAAACGGCCGCTAGAGGGCGCAACTGCTATGGAAAATAAGAAAATAGAATTTTTACAAAATTTTGTCTAGATAATGGGTACTATAAATAATAGCTTCATAATCTTCAGTAAATTTTCGATTTTTTTTGTTAAAACCATTTTCCTCTATCTGCTAAAATAAAATGCGGGGGGAATGTTAGATCTATCTTTATTTAAATGTTAATAACTCCCGACTGGAGGATCAGAATCCAACAAACGAGAGCTTCTTTCTACCGGCTCTGCACCGTAGTATAGTATATAGTAGAAAATGAGGGCGGTTTACAACTACATACCATACTGCGTTACAGAGCCCCCGCGTTCTATGGGGCTCCTTTACTATGTAAATACGCGTCCCGCAATCGATTCACTAACGGTGACAACTCTTGTTAGAACACAAAACTTATCGTTCACTAAACGATTCTCTCGTGGTTGGAAACCACTCCTTTTCTCCACTGCGCAGAAGTATAAACGGGTTTAACGATTTTAGACAAACAAAAACTTTTATATAGAATGCATTTTTCTCAAAAAAAAATATATAAAAATGTTTCCCCTTTTAAACACAATCCGGGAACATACTGTTGCATATTTAGCTATTTTCGAAATAAATATTAGTTTCTCATTGAGTTTGACGACATGAATTTAGAGAAATATAAACTTTTTGGGATTATAAACTTATAAAATCATTATATGTTATTTTTTCAGGTATTAAAATAAAACAACGGCATCAAGGAAGCGAGAATGTTGTGCCAACCGAAACAGTGTCTGATACATCTACTAGAGGGGAAAGGCCTGCTAGACCGGAAAGGCCAGCACCATCCCCACCTATATCGCCTCCAACACACCAGTTGGAACCTACACAAACAATATCACCTTTGGCTACTTCATCTAGCAATAATAATATTCCGAATGGTATGTAAATATATTTTTATACTAGTTGAAGCCTGGCGCATCCGCCAGGACATCAGGAAAAAAACCTTTTTATTTTTTGTTTAATTAAATGAAAAACAAAAATCCGACGACGACAGTTTTTAGAAGAGCCAATTAGCTATCTTTTAGTAAAAAAACAACTTTCTAGAGCAAGTCGTTACTTCAGTAGAGACGACACAGATAAACATTAGCATTTTATATATGTAGATATACAGGGTTGTTCACCACATACGACACGGAGTATTGTAGCTAAACGATGAGATTTTTACAAATTGTAAGTTTGGGGTTCGTTGAAGGACTATTAGAGCTACAATTTAAAAATATTTTTACAAGATACAGAGTGTCCCAAATAAATAAAAAATATCAAAGTTGTATTTTTTTAAATGGAACACCCTGTATATTATTACATTTTTAGTTTCTACGATTAAAATAAAGGTAAATTTGATTAAGGTTTATTATACTTAAACATTACGTTTTTGAAATATTTTCAATTTTGTGAAATTGCAGTAAAAATTTTAAAGCTTTATTTCTCCAAGGGTATCAATGTTTTTAATACTAAATATTTAATGAAGTTTATTTATTGATCAGTTATTGTGTTGCAATAATAAAAATAATACTACTTTATAGAGAGTGTCTAAAAATTTACTTTAAATAATTATTAACTTCAAACGGCAACAACTTCTTTAATTTAAATAGAATGCCCTGTATATTTTAGGAGAATCAGATGCACAATTAAATTGTCTATCAAATTGCATTATACCATTTTTTACCTATCCCTTCAAGTTTTCGTAGAAAATGCATTTTCTTATAATTTAGACCTCATTTATCAATATATCCATGGAATATTGACATTTTAGATTGTTTTTAAAGCAACAAATGTACAAAATGTACAGACTAGTAATATTATCGTTTTTAGCAAAACGATAATATTACTAGCCCATTGTATGCAAAAAGAAAACTATTTAAATCTTTATAAAAGAGTACACCATTAATTAAATATAACACCATTATTTCCGCCCATATACTAATTAATTACATACTTAATTGTGTTCGTTAATAAATTATTATAAATAAATGTGGATTTGAGTCAGAAATCAATATAATAATAAGTTTTCAAATTAAAGTCTCTGTTGTTATAAATAAGCATTTATTAAAAATGAATATCATTTTTAAGGTGTTACTTTTTATCACACTGTCTAATGCCCATACAAAATTCAGTTTTTTAGTATTTGGAGCAATTATTGTTAATCAACGCAAACAGTCAGTTAATGTAGTTTGAATACTGGAATCATGTTAATTGATCCTCTTTAACAAATATTTAAACAGTTTTTTTTTAATTTTTTAATGAAATAAATGAATTATACCGACAATATTAGTATCTGTACTCTTTAAAAATTTGGTACATCTGTAAAAATAATCTAAAATGTCAATAGTCCATGGGTATATTGATAAATAAGTTCTAAATTACAAGAAAATGCATTTTCTACGGAAACTTAAAGAGATAGGTAAAAAATGGTATAATATAAGTTGATAGAGAATTAAATTGTGCATCTGATTCTCGTAAAATATACAGGGTGTTCCATTTAAATTAAACAAGTTATTGCCGTTTGAAGCAAATAATTATTTAAAATAAATTTTTAGACACTCTGTATAAGGTAGTATTATTTTTATTATTGCAACACAATAACTGATCAGTAAATAAACTTCAGTAAACATTTAGTATTAAAAACTTTGATACCCTTGGAGAAATGAAGCCTTAAAATTTTAACTGCAATTTCACAAAATTGAAAATATTTCAAAACCGGTAAGGTTTAAGTATAATAAACCTTAATCAAATTTACCTTTATTTTAATCGTAGAAACTAAAAATGTAATAATATACAGGGTGTTCCATTTAAAAAAATACAACTTTGATATTTTTTACTTATTTGGGACACTCTGTATCTTGTAAAATTATTTTTAAATTGTACCTCTAATAGTCCTTCATCGAACCCAAAACTTACAATTTGTAAAAATCTCATCGTTTAGCTACAATACTCCGTGTCGTATGTGGTGAACAACCCTGTAGAAAAGTAAACATTTTTATACATAAACCATCTCTACTCAATACTATAATCCCCCTAGTACTACAAGGACGATTAGTCATATCGTCGCCTTCCACAGAAAGTGTTGTAACTAACAATTTACAAATTATACGTTTTGTTTGTAATGTTTGAAAAACCTTACATTTTGTAAAATAAATAAATAAATAAAAGAAAATGAAAAATGTAATGTTTTACAAAATGTAATGTTTTTCGATATTGCCGAAAAATGTTCAATGTGAATTTTTAGTTTTAATAGACAGAAAGAAGTGTTATTCAAGTAAACTAATTTAATGAAAGTTTTTAAATTCAAGAAGCCCTATAAGAGGGTTTCCTTTACAAAGTGAAGTAACATCATCAAAATTTTTCTTTAATAATAATATTTCAGTGGACTGTTAAAATTCTTAATATTCATGAGATACTTTTAAAATCTAAAAAGTCAGCCCAACCTATTGGGATGACTTTGTAGGAATTTTTTACCCGGCTAGTTCGAAAATAGGGTAAAGTTGACTGGTAATAAGAATTTCATCAATGTTTTTGAATTCTTGTTAGTAACGACACTTTGTGTGGAAGGCGACTATATAATAGTGTGAGTCTTAATAAGAATGTAGTATTTTTGTATTTTACGAAAATTGGCCTCCACGTCGACCACAAGGGCCTATTGTGGATCAGGTCTATAAAATTTTATTTCACCCTCGAGACCCGACCTTTTTATATAGGTGGTTATATCCGAGGTTACCAACGTTTCAAAAGTCTAGCATAGCTTTGCTAAACAACTCCAACTTGGTCTTCCTCCCAGCGAGGCAGGTACATATACTGTGCTTCATAGTCTCGTCAAATAGAGTCGGCCATTTGGTGTCTTCCACCAGTCCCATCCTCTGCAGATGTGATCCCAGCCTGCAGTGGCCTGTGTATACTGCATTGAGTATCAGAGTTCTCCGGTTCTGTGTTTGGATGGCCCTGCCAAGATTCTCTTGTCATGTTCCATCCCGGGTCTGTCGTTACAGTCTTTAAACGTCATTCCCCTAAGACGTTTATTATTTTTTGGAACATGTATGCCGGTTCTGGTCCCACAAATGACACCTGTTTTGGCGAGGGAGTCGGCACGTTTGTTTCGTTCATTTCCCTCTAGGCTGATGAATTGATATGTTTTTTATTTTTATGCTATAGGCTTGGTGCATTCTCCGCCGGTGCTGCCTCCATCAGAGAATATCGTAAACAACTAGTACTTACAAATATACGGGTTTAAATAGCGAGAAAACGAAAAATTTTTTATTTAATTATTCTAAAACTGTTAAGAAGTATAATTTGTGAAAATTCTAAAAATAAAAAAGTAAATATTTTCATGTCTTCAAAAGGTCTAACTTGTATTATAATTTATTATTCCAATCAAAAAAATAAAGGTACATAATTATAATTTTAGAAGATGTTCATAAAAAATTTAATCACTGGTTGATTAAAAAAAGTATACCATTAATATTGCAAATTATATTTTATCCTCTTATGTCTATTTAATTTTTTGATTATATAATGGGCACTTTGTTTAGTCACTTGTTTCGTCGAACTGCCTGAATCCATTTTAGCTTTTGATCAAATAGGTGTGAGAAACTATGAAGCTATAAAATATTGTTTCGGGAGAGTTGAATATCCGGGAGAGTTGAATTATTGATTGTTCACAACGCCTTAATTACGCTTTCCTTTACGCGTTAACATTTTTTCGGCAATTTTATTAACATTTGAAATTGTCACAAGTCACAACACAACACGACGCCTAGTTCGAATTCTTTTTCACTTATTTTTTACTACCCGAAACAGCGTTACATCACACAAACCTCGTACCTGAGTGTTTTATAGTCTCAATAACTGCACTCGCAAAAAACTAAAATACTTAAATATTATGACCAAACATGACCAAACCACGATTTCAATATTATTTTAATGCTATCAACATGACGGCAGCATGAAATAGGTACTGATAATTTCTGATTTTTGCTGTTGAAGCGCTGCGGTCGGAATTTGTTGAAATCAAATGAAATGCACCAAGCCGATAGAAACGTATCTCTTTATAAGTTAATTACACTTACAACTAACATTTTACTTTTGGATAAAAGAAAATATCTTTTTGTCAAACATATTAATACGAATACGTCCAGAAGTATCACAAGTGCGCGCGAGTATTTCAGATATTGAAAAATAAGATTAGTTATCAGCTTATTATATGTATAGGTAGTATTGGACCACCTGCAACAGTACCTAATGGAGCTGTTCCAGCAGAACAAGATGAGTTTAGGCAAGATGAACCTTTACCTCCCGGTTGGGAAATGAGGTTTGATACCTATGGAAGAAGATATTATGTCGATCATAATACCAGGTGATTCAAATTTATTGTAAGTTGTTACAATGTGTTAATTCAATTGTGTATTTTTTAGATCTACTTCGTGGGAAAGGCCTCAGCCTCTTCCTGCTGGTTGGGAATTAAGACGTGACCCAAGAGGTAGGGTTTATTATGTAGATCATAACACCAGAACCACTACATGGCAAAGGCCTAATTTAGAAAGATTACAACACTTTGAGCAATGGCGGGGGCAAAGACAGAATGTGGTACAGCAAGGTAGGACATTTATTATTACCTTAAATTTATTTAATAAGTAAAGTTTATTCCCATTTTTACGAAAGATGATAGAAATACACTTGTCGTTTCACTGTTTTATAATTTTAATGCAGAGTTTATTACATAACTTACCTCTCGCATGTATTTGTGATGTGTGTCATCAGTGTTTCACAAGTACACGGGATCTACAGTTTATCGCCAAATCCGAACGGTGCTTAATTCAAAGCTGTAGTCATTAAACCAAAATATTACTACATCTATATCTCTGACTACTACCACAGATTATACAGATTATAAACGTACCGTCAAAAGCATTGTTTTTCGTGGTTCCAATTTTCGGAGTCGCGCACTAGTTAGGTTACTAGTTTGCGCACAAGCACGGCCACTTATGGTTTATGGCCTCTAAAATTGTGCACAGCGCCTGACCGGCCCAGTTATTACGCTGTTTAAACGCGAGTTTATTTTTGCGCACAAGAAATTTTACTCGTTTGCTCATCATCATAAAAAGCAATTTTCGTACCACGAATTACGGACAAGATTTTTATCTGTATACTTGTAGGATACCTAATATGTGCTACTACTAACCAACTGTTTGTTTTGTGTGGTCTGTGGTCTGTTTCTGATTAAATGTTTTGGTTATTATTGTAACGTTTTTAGTTCGTTACATGTCTTTTTTACATATAATATATGATGTCTGGCCTATCGTCACCGGATTCCCTCTCGTTCAGGCCTGATCATTTTGTTGGTACGCTTGGCGTAATTTTTACGTTCCCTAGTCACCAACCCTGCTATCGTTTCACTATTCTGTGGAGGCGCGCGCTGTCAACATCGCTTCTGTCAACTCTCTGTGATTTAACGGCACTTTTGGTTTGACCGTTTGGCCTGTCAGACGCCATTAGTCCCAGTTTTTTTTAGAAATGGTGATTATTTAAATCTTGCTGTATAATCTGAATCAGCTGCTATTTCGAGGCTACAGGTAAAGATGAGTTATTACCTTTTATAGATTCGATATTATTATTGAATATTTTTAGGGTAGAGTTACGGATGTCCCAACTTGTATTTGTATTTTGCTGGCACGTTGGCGTCCCTTTTCTTTTGTCCTCCAGAATGTCACATGGAAGAAAGGACATATTCTTTATTATTTAGTGAGCCCTCGGAAGTAATTCGAGGTAGGTTCATTTTGTTTGTTAGACCTTGTTTGATTTTAAACAAGAGTTTCGTATTTTTAGGGTCCAAGGTACGTACTATTTACAAGGTACGGGCATTATCCAAGGTCCTAGTAGTATCCAAGGTACGGGTAGTGTTCCCCTGTACCGTTGTCATATGGGCGGGCTGTGTCCAAGGTTATGGTTCAAGTTACGGACAATATCCAAGGTCCTAGTAGTGTTCCAAGGTACGGGTAGTGTCCCCATATTGCTACAGTATGGATACAGCGTAAGCCCCATGCTGCTTCGTTCCCATTTCTCAGTCTAGTCAGTAGTTACGGCTGTATCAATTCATGGTGTCCTCACTCTGGCCCCCTTTTGTTGTATTAGATGGCCGAGTACAGAGATGCGAGACCACCTCACGCTGCTACTGTTTGAATCAAGATTACATAAAGAACAGCTAAGTGTAGATTTACGTTCTAGTTTTTATGTTTTAGATTTTCTATATTTTCGGTCTTAAACAGTAACGTACATTTTAAATAATATCGTACAGACTATATTTAGTTGTTAGATTATTAAGAACATTTATGTCGATTTAATAGTTACAATGTGATTTAGATTTTAGGTTTCACTATATTACGCCTTGTAATAGTATTACTTTTTTTTATAGATATTATTATTGCACTAACATCATATAAAATATATCAAATTAATTAAAGTAATGCTACATTTCATATATTCTCTTAAACTTTACATGTCTTGTATTTTATCATAGTTGTTTTCATAGATAATTTAGTACAATTCTTAACACCACTTTCGTTGACATATAACCACTATAATAATTATTAAAATTGTACAATGCTATTTACCATCACAGTCCATCATGAATAAATATAGTCATTAGTTTTAAGTAATATACAACTGTGTTTTCTTTCTCTGTACATGCCTGGCGCCCAATATCTGTATTTTTTTGTTTATTGTTATTGATTAGTTTTCTCTCTAGTGAAATACCTTATCCACGACTGCTCTCCGATGAAAAGCTGCCGTTCGCAGTGGTAATGTTTTATAAAAAACGCTTCATTTTATCTTTGTTATTATTCATTATTTATAATGATCTACAGTAATTTTATTAAATTATACGAATATTCTCGTTGATTATTAGTTTGAAATAAATATGACAGTGTCCTCCAATGAAAATACGAGTTACTAACTCTAAAGTCTAATTCTGAGCTGGCAAATGAGCTAGATGCTTTACCTAGACCGTTATTCAGAAGCTACAAACATATTAATGAAAATATGCATGAAAATTTACTTCCTAGCACACAGCCAGAGGATACTGGTACACATCAAGGTTGGTACAGTATAAGTTTATTATAGTGATTTTCTTGGCCGCGTATGGTAAAGATTGTTACCCAGTGTTACCACAAGTTTATTTTTCATCAGGGTAGATTAACACAAGATAGCGGGGTTAAATTGTTTTATAAAGGGGTAGATCTACCCCGAATGGTATAGCTGTGGCAACACTGCCGCTATCACTTTTTCTCTCGCTAGCTCGTGCGTCACGGCCCGGCCGTCTCACGGGTCATTCAAGGCCGAGCCGATTTATTATTTTCCTAAGAAAGACTCGAGGACTTCTATGCTTGTGTGGTCTAGGCTGCTGAGACTATAAAACCATTGTGAACTACTTTTCACAACAGATGACAAAGTTTAGGTTATAACATTATACTCAAAATGAAATAAAAACATATAAATGGGTTGGGCAACGGCCTAGCTACGTCGAAACACCGGTTCCCGTTAGATCACTGAAGTTAAGCGACGTACGGCGATACTAGTGGATGGACGGGTGACCGTCTGGAAACTCTGTCGTGCTGTTGTTCCATGGCAAGAGTGTAAAATCTATTGACACACACTGCTCATTCACGCCGGTTTGAGGCCGGATGAGAGTGGATATTTCGTGAGTTTGAGTCGATTTAGACACTCGCCAAGTCGGTAGGCCATTGACCATGATATGGCCGACGACCGCGGTTCGGATTCCGCGTAAACAAAGTAGGTTCCGTCCAGATTAGCCCTGGCATTATTTTCCACTTTCTGACAAAAAAGAAGGAAATTCACTTGGAAATAACCTTTACTTGAAACATTCAAATTAATTATCTTGAAATTTTTTTAACAAACCAGACGCGTGAAAAAACCTGTATACTACTAATGCTATTTTGTCTTTTTTCTCTTTAACTTGGCGGTGGAATTTATTTTCAGGAAATCAAAGATTTTTATACCCCCAATACCAAGCTGGAAATGGATCTCTTCCAGGAACGTCAGCTGCTGTTGATGACGATGATAGTTTAGGTCCATTACCTCCAGGTTGGGAAAGAAGAGTTCAACCTGAAGGCCGACCTTATTTTGTAAATCACAAGGTAGGCATAGCTCATATACTAAGGGCTGGCAAAGGTTAGTCTTGGGTCGAGATTTCCGTATGTAAGAAGAGTACAATTGGTTTATAATGTAGTGAACAAAGAGAGGACAGTAAACACGTTGCTAAACGTACAAAATAAACCGAGAAACTGTGCACATCGCTAAGAGACGTGGAAGGGGATATAGCAGATTTGTCGCAGTTGACCAGTCGACCCAATCATTACCTCTGTCAGTACTTAAAATTCTAGGGAAGGGTGTACGTCATGCGTTCAGCTTCACGATTTAATTACGTCTCGTGATACTTGATTTGTTTATTTATTAACGAGTCGTTGTAATTTTCCCTATAGCTTGAATTTTTTTAAGTGCAAGCTAGAAACACTTGCATTTTTGGTAAAAATAAGTGGAATTGAGTGGGTGTTCGATAGTGGTCGCGCTATTAGAACTCTGAATTCAAAAATCGATATCTCGAAATCTATTAGAAATAATAGATTTTAGTTTTTTCAAGAACTTTGTTAATATTTCTGCTGTATTTTCTTTGTAGACAGTATGTGAAAATCTTTATCAATAAAAAAATTACAGGATTGCTGAAAATTGCTATGCTCTAAAAGTAAATGGATGGATTGTTTACAATTTTTTAATGGAAAAAACAACCTTATCGAATTTTTCTTATGTAAACATATTGTAAAATATCCGATCTTGAAAATAAAAAAAGCTTCAATATCTAAAGTGGTTCTTGAGTTATGGCCTGTTATGTGTTAAAAAGTTGAGTTTTTAAATTATCGCGATTACTGACGTTTTCTCGTTATAAAAAAAATGACACCCTAACGATATCCTTACAATTCCATTTCAGATGCTCAGAAACATGTCTAATGATTTTATCTAGTTATCTCTTGAAAAAATGTCTTTTAAAAATAAGCGGTTTGCGATCGTGATTTTACTTTACTTGATAGGGAAAGGCGTATCGGCAACGCAGCAACAGCACACCGTCGCGCGTCGCGTCGGTCGGTCGCATTTCTCTCACTCCGACTTAATAAGATCCCTATGCGATTTACTTCCACACATGTAAATGCCGACCCAAAAGTAACAGTTGCTAGCACGGTATATCAGTACAGTTTATTACATTTATATAAGATGCTTAGAAAGATATCATAATTTACAAATCTGATTGATTAATATTTAGAAACATTCTGCCATTCTGTTGTTTTTTTTTTTACTTTTTTATTCAAACTTCTCTTATCTTCTCTCATTAAAATATAGACTCTTATTACACTAAAATTTTTAGTAGAGTAAGAAAGAAATTGTCAGTCTCCAGAGAAATTATTTGGTTATCTTTATTTAATGCATCTGTAATACAGTGGTTTTGTTAGTAATTTTGGCAAAAATGAATCCAACTACGTATACTAAGGGCTGGCAAAGGTTAGTTTTGAGTCGAGATTTCCATATGTACGAAGAGTTTATAATGTACTGAACAAAGAAAAAACAGTAAAAACGTTGCCAAATGTATGAAATATACCGAGAAACTGTGCACATTGCTAAGAGACGTGAAAGGGTGATAAGAAGATTCGTCGCGGTCGACCCAATCAGTACTTAAAATTCTAGGGAAGGGTGTACGTCATGCGTTCAGCTTCACGATTTAATCACGTCTCGTGATACTTTATTTGTTTATTTATTAACGAGTGGTAATTTTCTCAATAGCTTGTAAATTTTTAAGTGCAAGTTAGAAAACCTTGCACTTTTGGTATAAATAAGTGGAATTGAGTTGGTGTTTGACAGTGGTCGCGTTATTAGTGAATTTAAAAATCGATCTCTCGAAATCCATTAGAAACAATTGATAGTAGGCTTTTTTAAAAATTTTCTTAATATTTGTGCTATATTTTCTTCGCAGACAGTATGTGAATATATTTATACATAAAAAAGTTACATGATTGCTGAAAATTGCTATACACTAAAAAGCCTATCGAATTTTTCTTATTTAAACATCTTGTAAAAGATCCGAACTTCAAAATAAAAAGAAGTTTCAATATCTGAAGTGGTCGTTGAGTATCGCGTGTGACATGACCTGACATGACATGGCGCGACCGACATGACTCGACGCGGCACTCGCGCTTCTTGGTGGTCCGCCAAATTGAGACGCAGTTTTTCACCTCTGCGATCGTATAAAAACGGCTGCAAAAAAATGTCTGATTTACCATCGAAACAATTATTGTAACTAAACTTTAGTTCTAAATCAGCATCAGATGATGCGAAAGTGGAAATTTTACTGTATTCAATAATCAAAATTAATGAACGCGAACGCGAGGCACGCGTCAGGTTACACGGGTCGCGTCTTGCTGCCAATTTGCGCTGTCCCATTTATTTCTGTTGTTTAAAAAAGTCGCGTCGTGTCAGGTCATGTCACACGTGATAGACGCGACTCAATTTGCGCTTAGCCTAACGCATTTGGGGTGGCAGGTACCAACTTTGAACGAACGATAAAAATAGTAAATAAATAATTTTTACGTGACCCTCCAGGAGTTTGGAACTTTGAATAGCAAAACATATTCTGGGACCAACCAGAATATGGTAAGGAAATTTTAATTCTTTGTCTATTTTTTGTAGAATCGAACAACACAGTGGGAAGATCCAAGAACGCAAGGTCAAGAAATTGGGGATGTGGACGATATACCATTACCTGCTGGATGGGAAATTCGCTATACAGAAGATAATAAAAGGTTTTACTTATTCTGTTTTCTCCAGTTGGTATACTTATACTGTCTAATTTTACTTTCAGATATTTTGTTGACCATAATGCGAAAATTACGACGTTTGAAGATCCACGGCCAGGTGCTCCAAAGGGTGCTAAAGGTACTTATGGTGTTCCTAGAGCCTATGAAAGGTCTTTTAAATGGAAAATCAGTCAATTCAGGTACAGTAAATTTGTAGTTATTAAATTATTTTGTGTGAATTTTGTATTTATAATAATTAAATTATATTGTTTTCCTTCTAGATTTTTATGTCATAGTAATGCATTGCCAAGTCATATTAAAATTCAAGTATCAAGACAGACTTTATTTGAAGACTCTTTTCACACGATAATGAGATTACCAGCTTATGAATTGCGTAGAAGATTGTATATTATTTTTAAAGGGGAGGAAGGTTTGGATTATGGTGGTGTTAGTAGAGAATGGTTTTTCCTTGTCTCGCATGAAGCATTAAATCCAATGTATTGTCTATTTGAGTATGCAAACAAAAACAATTACAGTTTGCAAATCAATCCAGCCTCTTACGTAAATCCCGAGCATTTGACGTATTTCAAGTTTATAGGAAGATTTATAGCCATGGCACTATATCACGGAAGATTTATTTATTCTGGATTTACTATGCCATTTTATAAAAGAATGTTGGGAAAAAAATTAGTTATGAAAGATATTGAGAGCATCGATCCAGAGTTTTATAATTCTCTTGTGTGGACCAAAGAAAATAATATTGATGAATGTGGATTGGAACTATATTTTAGTGTAGATTTTGAGGTAAGATAATCATACAGAGTTCTAAGTATAACATCGTTTTTTTCTTGCCTTTCAGCTATTGGTTAATAAGGCAATAATAAGTACAAAAATTTGTTATTTATTTAAAAAAATAATCAATATTTAATTTAATTTACCAACACCACGGTACTGGCAACTGCCGTTTTTAAAAATAAGTTTTAACATGACACAGACTCATTGCACTTTTTCATCTGTATGAAGTTTGTAAACATTACTTAACTGAGGTACTTTCGTTATTGCTTACTACTTGGTTTATTAATTTTAATATACAGGGTGTCCCACTTAAGATGGATACAAGCCAATATCTTGGTTGTTTGTTGAGCGATTTTTTTCATTTTTGGCTGGAGGCTGTACGGCTATAAGACGTACATTTTGCCCAAGGTAAGAAATGCGATACCTCATAGACGTACGTTTAAATGGGGTTTGATATTTTTCGAGTCAAGAGTAAACTACCCTTAGGGCAGTATTTATTTAAAATCTGATAAATTATATTGAATCCTCCTTACCTAAGATACTGAAGTTCCAATTTTTATAAATATTGATACAGGGTGTATCATTAAAATAAGACATTTTTATTTTTATTATTATTTTTTTAAGTACTTACGACGCCACTGGATAAACAACTGGTTTATTATCGATAACCAATTATCAATTAATAATCGATTTAAGCTTCCATAATAATTAAGATACGATACAAAAAAACTAAATATTTTCAATTTATTTTGTTTACTTTAAAAAATTGTTTTTAGGTTTCCCAATACAAATGAATAAAATGAGTTACAAAATAATTTAAAACCCCAGTTTTCAATTGAATCTGAAATATGATTTTTATTCGTTTTATTGAGGAATATTTAAAAAAATCCAAATACATAGTTAATTATTTAAAACAGTACTATTAACTTTGGAAAATATGCTCTAAACAAAGATTTATAAAACTATAACGAACTAAAAGTCAACATCTTCGACCAAACCACCATAATTTCTAATGCATTTTTCATAAATTTTCCTATTTCTTAAACAAACTTTTCGTAATTCTTGTCTGGAAATTTGTTCACATTCTTGTCTTATTCGAGTTTTCAATACTTCTAATGTTCGTGGACGGGTTTTATAAACTTTATTTTTGATAGTTCCCCACAGAAAGAAATCCAGAGGTGTGATGTCTGGAAACCTAGGGGGCCATTGGCCATTTATCTTGAAAATTTTCATTAACCCATCTTCTTACAGGTGGAACATTATGGATCGGAAACTCATTTTATTCGTTTGTATTAGCAAACTTAAAAAACAATTTTTTAAAGTAGGTAAACAAAATAAATTGAAAATATTTAGTTTTTTGTATCTTAATTATTATGGAAGCTATTAGAAAACTTAAATCGATTATGAATTGATAATTGGTTATAATTGGTTATTGATAATAAACCAGTTGTTTATCCAGTGGCGTCGTAAGTACTTAAAAAAATAATAATAAAAATAAAAATGTCTTATTTTAATAACACACCCTGTATCAATATTTAGCAAAATTAGAACTTAAGTATCTTGGGTAAGGAGGATTCTATATAATTTATCAGATTTGAAATAAATACTGTCCTAAGGGTAGTTTACTCTTGCCTCGAAAAATATCAAACCCCATTAAAACGTACTTGGAAGAAAATTATAATAAATCAAAAGATTATTAAGATTTTAACACCCTGTAGCTACGAAATACAGCAAAATCGGACCTATGTTGATATGAAAAATAAATCTTATTTTTACCTGACGAATCACCCCACGAGAGATGTCACATGTTTTTTGAAAAACCCTGTATAAGAAAACAAAATGAAAAATTGCTTAAATCCGATGACTATCTGTTATTTTATAATAGCTATTTAGAGATAACATAACGCAACAGTTGTACTTCTAAAAAATAACAGGTACAAAATAACGATCAAATATATTTTTCCAATGCTCCCTGATTAAAAATTAGTGTTTTTAACACAGCCATGGCACTCTAGATTGAAATTTAAAATACAATTTGTTTTTCAGCCAATATGTCCAAAGATATGATATGATATGTCATTGGATTCAGGGTGTCATTTTCTATCGAATAAAGTAAAAAAATACTGAGGGTGCCATTTAAAAATCAAAAGTTGTAGTCATTTCCGGTGAAAGAGGAAGTAGATTTTCGAAACAATTGAATACGTCCATCAATCCTAATTTATGGCATATACTAACATACCAAATCTCGTTTTTTCATCTGAAAAAATAAAAAAGTTATAGGCGGTGAGCCACTTTTGTGACGCACCCTGTATACATATCAATTTATCAATTGATTAGTTTGAAATACTTATGGCATTAAAAAAATACCAAGTTGCAGGCAAGTCCTACTAAAGGACATCACACTGTAATCTGGGTGTTCCATTTTGGTTGAAATCATGCGGTATGTCCGTTATCAGTGAAGATAAAAGGATACCGTTTGCACAAACTGGTCCTACTTTTTTGTCAAACGGAAGATGCTGTAAACGAAATTTTAGTATGCCTCTTTGTAAGTTACAGGGCCGTTTGAAAACTTTGCAATTATTGTTATTATATGACAGGTATCGAGAATGTGAAAACTGTACCTTGTAGAACTTTTTACTTAGAATACAGTGGCGTTGTCTGTTTTTCAACGAAAAAAATTTTTTGTACTTATGAGCTAAAATTATGTTTTCTCAAATCGTATGGGTCTATATCGCATTGGTCCCAATTCATTGATTTAGGAAATAGTCGTTCAAAAATTCTAATAGTTTCAAAGTTGTGAGCGGGAGCACCATCTTGCTGGAAGTATATTTCACCGTAAATTGACTAAAGAAATATGCTTTACAAGTGCCGGTAAGATAGATTCCAATATTTACAAATAGCAGTAGAGTATTAAGTTCCCCTGATATACCGGGTGGTCCGAATTGTGTTCCGGAAACTTCGGCAGCATATTCTGCAGATAAAAATATGTAAAAAAGTTCGTATAAATGTATGTCCTAAAATGCTTAGTTTCGGAGATGCAGGATGTAAAAGTTTCATTTTATTTCGATTTTTTCCAAATAATTTCTGAAGTAACGTCAATATTTGGATGAAAATTGGTGTCTGGGATTTTTTTGACATGAGAAACTTGATTTTGATGTCAATATGACTCCTATTTGTAGGGGGCGTCACCTACATGTATTTTAAATGTTTTGAAGAGTAATAACTTTTTATCCGTACTTGTATAAAACTAGTGAGTGAAAAAATATACATTTCCGTGATTCTTTACGTAAAAAATGTCTCTTGGTAAAAATCATATATATCAACATATAATTTATGTCAATGATGACAAGTATTGACAATTTTGAATATCCAAATATCTCGAGAACAATTGAAGGTGTGGCTGCAATAACTAGTGATGGGTTGTTATTTAACTATCTGTTATTTTATAACAATTATTTAGAAATGGCATAACGCAACCGTTACTACTTTTAAAAAATAACAGATATATAATAACGATACGCAGAGATCGACCGTTCGTGAAACGAAGTCGGCGCTCTGCACCGCCACGAAATTCGATGCTGCTCGAAGCAATTCCAAAAAACAACTAGTATGGATTATGGATGGAAAACATGTTATTTCGACAACCATCGATACAGGCGGCGAGATACAACGGAGTGGGGAATACGCTACGGCGCGGCGCGGCGAACGTAGCTCCATCGGTCGATGGTCGTGTGGGGCTTGCAACAGCTTAAAAATAATAGGATATAAAAGAAGCAGCTTTTTTGAGACAATTGCGGGCATAACGCCTGGCGGTTGAGATAACAGGAGTGGGAAAGGAACGCTGCTGCGTCTGTCGATTGTCGATGGAGGCTCGCAACGGGTTGGAGAAGCAGTCATTTTAGATACGTTGTTTTTTAACCTGTTACGAGCATAACAGAGCGGCGGTCGAGATAATCGGAGTGGGAAAGTAACGCTGCTGCTTCGGTCGATTGTCGATGGAGGTTCGAAACAGGTTGAAGAATAACGCATCAGTTGTTTTAGATATATTGTTTTTCAACCTGTTACGCGCATAACGGGCGGAGATCGAGATATTATGGCGCTGTATGTTTCAGTACTTACTTATTAAGTTTTAGTATTTATTTATTCTGAAAAATTTTCAGAATAATATTTTAAGATTTTTTAAAAATGTATACAGGGTGTTTTTAAAAATTTGGTCATTGATTAATCACGATCCTGCTTAAAGCCCTTGACGTAAAAAGCTGATTGACTTTAGGGTGTAGAGGTTCGATAAGAAGGGACTTTTCGAAACTCGAATTCTAAAGGGGTGAAACCACCCTCAAATATTAGAATATTTTTTATTTAAAAACCGGTGAGTTTTTCGGAAAAACTCTTAAACACGTACCTATATTTTATTTTGTTGTTTTACATATTGTCAAGAAAAATGGCCTATCCGCCAGAAATTGAAAATGTATTACTGGTTGCCTGCACAACCGCAACGTATCCGCCAGAAATTAAAAGACTTTTTCAGGCGCCATCTTTTAGTCAAGTCGAGAAGTAAGGGAATCAGACAATAGAATTGTCTGGTATGAAGAAGTACGCTTTCCGAGAATTGGGGAAATTTCGAGAAGCAGTCAATAGAGTA